ATTCAATATACTATGTAGATCATATGAAAATTGATCTACATACACCCTACCCTTAAATATATACTTTTTAATACTGTATACTATATACAGTATTATACAATGTTTTGTATAATAATAAAAATTTATAGTTTGCACATATGTAACAATGTTTTTTTTTTACTTACACTATGAAAGAAAAAAGCAATTATCCTTAAAGTCCATTTATTAAACTTTTTGATAAAAACAAAACATTTTATTATGAGATTATTAAAGAAAAGATATATCCACTTTCTAATCAATGTTATTATACCAAAAATTCTAAATATCGAATTTTAATAATTATGTAGTTAAAACACAGTATGGTAAAGCAAAGCATCTTGTAGAATGTTCTATTTAATATATAAACAAAAAACTACTATTTATTATTCAGTTTGGAGCTAGTTTAAAAACACAAATACAGTCTTCTAAAAGTGCTTCTAAGGTTGCATGTCAATATTTTAAGGTAATACTATATTTTATTTTAAAAATATTTATTATTAAATATTGAATAAATATTAATTTTTATTTCTAATTATTTAATAGAAATTAAATGAAACAAAAGTTCAAACTAATATAAAAAAATCTAATAAAAATAGATCAAAAAAATTTATAAAAATAATTCAAGGATATCTAGTTCTTTATTATTTGGCTTAACATTAACAAGTGTTGAAAATATACGTAGAACTTTAACACTTAACTATAATTATCAAATCTATCCTTTTGAAAAACTTAGTGTTTCAACACAGCATTGCAAATTATTAAAAGTAGCTCAACAAGTTTTAAATACAGTTGAAAAAGAAAAAAAAAATTTCCATTCTAATGATTATATAAATATTAAACAAATTCGGCTTGAAATTGGAGAAGAACAATTTGATATTAATTTTGGAAAATTTGATAAAAAAAGTGAAGAAGAACGAAAAAAAGCAATTGTAAAATCATTAAATTGTGGTCAAATTACAAGAGAAGCATATCGATTATTAGCACGAATTGAGTATAATATTCCACGTGAAGGAGCTATATCAGAAATAAGACAAAAAATAAATTTAGAAATGAAAAAAAATTTCACTATCACTTGTAAATATATTATAGCCAACTACATTTGAACCAATTACCGATACTCCAAAAATTACTGATGCAAATATTATTGCAAATATGCTAGAATTTATTGGAATGGGAAAACAACACCATATTACAGATATTTTGAATTATATTATACCTTTTTATGTTAGTAAAGGTATTTTAATTCCAAAAAAATCTACTTTATATATTCATATTTCGGGTGATGGGCAAAATGTAGGGCGTAAAGTTAAGCATGTAATAGTAACAATGGCATTGTTAAATAATGTAGCAAAATTACAAAAACTGAACAACCACTATACACTTATATTATATCCAGATTCAGAATTTTATAAATCATTAAAAAATGCACTTGCATCATTAATTTCGGATCTATATTTACTACAAGAAAATAATTTTCAACAAATCGGTAGTACCCAGTGGCCAGTTAAGCTTTATTTTAGCTCGGATTGGAAATTTTTAGCAATATGCCTTGGAATGAAGGCTGCAAATGCCAAATATTTTTGTCCATAGTGCAATTGTTCTAAAGAGAATATTAATAGTACAGACAAAAAAATTACTAAATCAATAGAAACAATTAAAATTAATTATTCTCAAATAAATAGACATTTAAAAGAGCCTTTATTTTATATAATACCGATTTGTAACTGGGTTTGTGATAAACTACATGTTCTTTTAAGAATAACTGATCATCTATAGGAATTAATGTTATTTGATCTTAGTCAAGAACAAGTTGACGAAACAATTTGGCAATCAAAAATTTTAAATGAAATGAAAAGACTTAATGTAACATATCAGTTTTGGCATGAAAACAACAAACTATCGTATACTTCACTTATGGGGCCTGACAAATTAAATATTTTACAAAATTTTAATCTTATAGCAATCTTTCAATCTAATAGTCAGGCTACACAAATTAGAAATCTTTGGAATCAATTCTATAAGTTATATAGTTAATGCAAGACAAAAAAACTATAGGTAGAATGTTTTATAAAAAAGCACAAAATTGGATAATGTCTTTTCTAGCTCCATCTCAAGGTCAACCTAATAAAAGTAACTTTGTTTGTAGAATGTATTGTATACAAGACATTACACCTTACATTCATGTTCTAGTGAATCATATATCAGAGTTCTTGGATATTTATTGTAATTTTGGATTAGCCACATTCTCATGCTCTGTAATTGAAAAAAAAAATTACTTACAAGTTTGTCAGTATTTTTAAAACACACTTAAAGATGGAGGTCATGAGAATTCACAAAAATCAGCTATTCTAGAAATTTTGGAATATGAGAATCGGCAACTTTACTTTACCATTAATGATACTCCAAATTTTTTTAAGAAATCTAAAAAATATAGATTAGAATCTAAATAATTAACAGGCAAGAATAATAACTTTGTAATTAATTTAAATTTAACTTAAATTTTACTCATCATTTACAAGCAATTCGTATTTATTAGGTTTCCTTTTTGTCACTCTATTAGTTCAAGAAACCACTGTTCAAATAGAAATCATATTGATATATATATATCTATTTTTATTTTATTACAATTTCTTTATAATTTGAAAATAAAACAAATATTATTTTGCTATCACAATAAAATTCTGTCTTATTGCTTTAAATAAATATTTCCAATGCCTTTTTTAAGATTTTATTGTGTCAATATTAGTACGTATGTTTTAACGATCTTTTTTTTTCTTATTTAGAATATGTAGCTATATATTAATTTTTTTTTAATGTTTATATCTTTCTAGTTTTACGAATAGTTATGAAAAAAAAAACTAATACTAATTATGAGCCGCAAAACTATAGACTTACCGGACCACTACTTTATAAGTTTATTAAACTTAAATACTGTACAGAATCATAAATTCTAGGAAACTCAAAAATATATTCTCTCTCGCATTTACATTAACATTCCTAATTTATGAAGATAAGCTATGCATCTGAGATCTATTTATTCGAATTCTACTCTATGCATCATGATAATCTTTTTGTCATTAGGTGTCTGAGAATATCGAAAAGATGATATTAAAAATCTTGTTGCTTGAACCGTTGCAATTGCTGCCTTGGTTAATTTAGATTGACTTATAAAATAGATCCTGAAGGTTGGTATTTGATAATACTGTTTGGCGTTGCTTATAGTATTCTAGGTTTAAATAAATATTTATTTATTATAAAAAATCTGTAGATATAAGTGACTCGCGAAATATTCTGGCTTGGTTATTGTGAATACAGAAATATAGAATTGGAATTAGAAAGGATGCATTAATTTTTATCGATATTAATACTTCGAACAGAAGGTTCTGGCTTGGTGAGTATGGATTGAAA